ATTTCAAATCCTGATGCCAGGAAAAACGATGGCTATGCTCAGCAGTGCACAATAGCTTTGTCTTCTTAGAGTTCTTTCCCTGGGACCCTTCCTATAAGATCAAGGTTCACACACTGACAATGGCAACAGTGAAGAAAAAGGTGACCCCAAAAGAGAAACTAAGACTGGATCAAGCAGATCTAACTAATGCAGCTGTGGGAGCAAGCATCCTTTCTCTCTGCAGTGAGATTGTCTATTGTCCCTGCCTATCCTCTAACCATCCTCTCTGCAGCCCCAGCTGCACAATGTCTCAGCACTTCCCTACCAATATTATACTTTGCCAGCAAATGACTACTGTTCTTGCAGATGAGTATATCTGTAATAAATTTTATCTGAGTAATTTTTTAATGACTGCTTTAGCATCTTCCCTTCCTCCTCTTTCTTTTCTCTGAAGACCTTTATCCTCACACTCAAGGAAAACTACAGACACTCTAAAAATGAACTAATTGAGCTTAAGTCTGCATTAACTGAATTGACCAGTCTGCTAATGGTGTCTAAAAATATTTTTTTCTAAATTCCTCTAGAAAATTATAAGCCAATTATCCTATGTGGTCTGCACAAAAGAGAGAGGAGAAAGAAAAAAAGAAAAGAGAGAGAAGAGGAAAAGAAAACAGAAAATATTAAGAAGAGCTTCAGCTGAAAGGCAGTTGTGTCTCGCACCAGAATGTACAGATGACAAGCAAAAGGTGTCTTTCTCTGCTGCTTCAAGAAGCTGTTTGATTGTTTTCCCTCCTTATGAGTCCCAGGATTTCAAAAAGAAAATGTGTCGTTGTCCCTACCAAGTACAATCTAACTTGTTCTGTTTCCAAAGTGAACTTGTATTGAAGGTAAAGTTTTCAATCTCAAGGTCATGCCTGTGTACCATGTCCTATGGTTGGGAAGTTCATACTGTATTATACACAATCAAATCTGGCCTTTTGGACTTCTTTCCCAACCCCCACTCCCACCTCCTGTCAGATCTAGGACCAGACTGTCTTCCTCCCTTTTCCCCAATTTGTACACATAATAAGAATGCTTCATAATCTACACTCAAATATTAAAACTGCAAGAGTCATAATCCCCATGGCTGGGGCACTGTCCGAAGGAGCATGAGTATAGTCTGCCCAGCTGCAGCCTCTCATGATTCCACAGGAGCTCAACCTGAACCATATTAATCTGCTTAATTTCTTTTGTGAGACCTTCCTTGCTTGGAAAGAGAGAGGCGTGGGTCTCTGCAAAAAAAAATGTTCAGAAGCTTGTACCTTTAAATCTTGTGAGGAAAGAAAGGCATTGTGAATGTCCAAGTTACAAATAAATGAAAGTATATGCTAATCAAGCCAAGCTGACATCCTTTCAAAAATAAACAATTTCCCCTCCTCTTAGAAATAAGCAAATAGCAGGGAGAAAGTGGGGTGGTAAATTGAACCATGAAGACCACTCAACAAGGAATGAAGATGATGTCCAGTGGTGCTCTGGCCTAGGAATTGAAACCTTTGCTTCCTTGCTAGAGATAGGTGGTAGATTTGCTACAATTACACTTTGTCTACTTCAAAGCCAGGCTCCTTCTCTAAAGCGACTTTTAGCTGCCCCAGCCTGGTAGGTTGGATAGCTATTGTGATATAATTCAACCCATAGCTCTAGAGGGGGTGGGGAGAATCCAATCCAAAGGCTCAGAACAAACTTGAAGATCTGGATGAGGAGCACACCAAAGTACATATTAGCACAGATGCTGGAGAAAGAGCAGTTTTGCTAGTGGTAACTTTGAGTTTAAGGCAAAATGCTGTCTATAAAAAATAAGTTACCAGCTCTTTGCAACAGTAGCTTCACATGGACTTATTTTTCTCCCATGTCCAGACAGGGTCGTCTATTGAATGAGGCTCTTTTATTTTGCATGGGGCAGGGGATTTGTGACCATGGTCTCCCCTTTTATTCCTCTCTCTATGGAAACCCAGATCATGGGGAGAAATATGCAAGGCTGAATAAAGAGAAGCCACAGAAAGGAGCGCTTGAGAGCGGCATCTGTTACACTTGGGAAGTTAGACTGACAGGAGAGGGCGAAGGAAACCTCTCCAGCAGATTAGTTAGAACAGCAAGAAGATTTTACTATATGCAGATATTTTCTTCTAAATGCAAAACACCTTGCATACAAAAGAAGATCCTATCACACAGCGACACCTGAATGCAAGAGGCACTATCTATATTCGTGGGAACTAATTTTTTTTCCAATTTTTAAGTCAGAGAAGGAGAATATGAGGGGAAGAGGAGAGAACAGGAAGAGAGGAAAGGAGAAACTAAGATACAGTGAAAAGAAAAAAGAAAGATTGGATGGCAAAGATTTCTGCTCCAGTAAAAAAATAAAAGCTATTCTTAACTATTCTTAAAGACTGAAAAACAAGGGTGTAAAAAACGTGTTCCAGGGTGTGAAAGCCCCCTCTTTGCTAATTTCCCCACCCCTAGCTCATGGCAAATGGTCTGAGCCACTTTTGCTTTTCTAGCCCAAGGGTTGGTTCCCAAAGCAGAGGCCAAGAGCAAGAGGAAAGTTGATTGTAAGAATTTAGGCAAGTCAGAATTGAAAAAGGACCCCTTCTTTATGCAAAAGCCCTATCAGTTGATAATTATCTCAACTTCCTGAATGGCTGGACTAAGATTAGCAACTCACTCTCAAAAGCAGTTGCTAGGTGGGGGGTGGGGATCCCGCCACCACCAACAGGGCAATGGTCATGATCATTTTCACGCGGATGGTTTCATCAGCACATTTCCCTCTGACCTCTAAATTGACCCAACACAGACTAGCAAACGGATCCTGGAACAGACAGCTTAAAAGAACACCAAAAACTTTTATTTTTGTTTGATTTCCACAAGTTCTTATTTCCTCAAGAAGCACAAATTCAGGCACAAATGAACTTCCAGTTCTTGCAAAGGACCATGCACAGAGTTGGCAGTAAGAAATGGCTTTTGTACCTCTCGGCAGAAAAGATAAGGGACAGACACTGAGGCAAAGAAAGAGTGCATGGCTACGGAAGGGTAGGGGTAGAGACAGTCCGAGACAGAGAAGAAAAATCAATTCCTATGTTAAAAGTAGATAAGCCATTACAATAGGACATCGGCAAATGAAGCTACAATTTCAATGAGGGAGCAGGAGGAGGGGGAGGATAGCAAATGATCCTCTCTACCAATAATTAGTGTTTATCTTTTTTTTCAGCGCCAAAGAAATAGATTTCAACCAGATACCTGGTTTTCCTGCCTAACAAACACGTTTACATTTATCAATATCAGCTCCTATTGCTCTTCCTTCTCATGCAAAATCTCTAATTTCAGAGGAAATAGATGCTCTTTAGCTATATAAAGGAATGGCAGAATAAGCTCACCTTGTTTTTTATTTTTTTCTCATTTTCTTGCATTTTCTTCAGATCTGTCTTCTTAGAGAAACTAATGCCTTAATGACTTTCTGGTAGCTGCAAGCCTTCTTTTATTTCTGCTAAATATATGAAAATGTATGCAAATTTAAATCAAGCTTAACCTAGGAGCTCTTGCAATATATTTAATGGAATTTCAAACCAATAAGGGAACTCTAATGCCGTCTTCTGTAACTGCAAATATAATTACGCAGCTAGGTTACCTCCAAAATCATTCAACGAAAGGTCATTTTCTAAACTTCAGATTTCTTGTTGGATATCAGACATTGCCTTTTCCTAGCTACAGTAAATCTAAAATCTTTGCATTTCCCTCCAACTCTGCTTCCAAGCAACGCCTTTGCATTGGGTTGTGGAGCACAGGGACTTGTCCTTCTCTAACTTATAAAAGCTAAGAATGATGCAAATATTTCCTGAATGATACAAGTCTTTACTCTTTTCTTCTAAACAAAATGTCAAAACAGTACTGTGTTTCCTAGCTGAAAGCAAATTTAAGCTTGGTGGGGATCGAGAAGGGGGTGGATACACTTGATGTCAAACAGCCCTCTCTTTCTGAATTTCTTAGGTATAGTGGATGATTACATTTTCTTCAGTTTGGTGGGGAGAGGAGTAGGTTTTTTTTTAACTTAATGGAGACAGCATTCAATATCACAAGTGTTTGCTTGTGGTGCACTTACTGGGAACGGGTCCGGTGAAGGTATGGAGTGTGAATAAGGACTGCTGACTTGAGCGCTTCTAAGACCAGTTGTAGGATGTCTGACACGAGACGACTTTGGAGCGGTAATAAAGCAAGCTTCCCAAACGACAGCCCAAACAGGGAAACAAACGTAGAAGTAATTGAATTTTGCCACTCTCACATTAAAAATTTGTCACCTAAAATCATACAGTTCCTCACACTCTAAATTATTTTTTTAGAAAATACTATGAATCTTTTTCTTAGATTGCCTTTCGGATTTTTAAAATAAATGATTAAATGAAAGTGAAATAAATGGAAAGACCGTCTATTGCGGTCGTGAGTTCATTGATTTAGGTTTTTTTCGAAGTCGTTACTTTACGAAAAGTTTGTAGCTGCGTGTTGTTTTGCAGTCCCCACCACACACTAACGGGGAATGCTGTCTGAAAAGTCTTTACGCACTAAGATCAAAATGACATTTCAACTTGTTTTACGTTTTCCCTTCTCCCCTTACGTTGGTCCGAATAAACCTAAGGGAATTCTTAAACCCCAGTTTGCTGCCTCTTCTCCCCCACCCCTTCTCTCACCCTCACGAATACCACCCTCTCGTCTACCCTTCCCCTCAGCAAACACCCGCATACACTGGGAAAGGAAGGGAAAGGGTTAACCAAAACAGCCGCTGCTAGTCTGCGCTAGGGAGCCAATGGAGCCGAAAGATTGATTCACTTCCTGCTTGGGGCTCGCTGAAACTCCCGAGCCTCCCCAGCCTAATTTGGAAAGAGAGCTCGGCCTCCTGCGCCGTCATTGGCTGTGCTCACGCCTGGCCTGGCCGAGTCGCACTGCGATTGGCCTTGGCGGGTGCCGGTAACTCGCACTCTAGGCTTTGGCTCCCCCGCACCATAGATGTCAAAGGCTGAAGCTGCTCCCTTTGCCACATTATAACTAGTAGGGGATCCTGACCGACCATGGCCACAGCTGCCTCGAATCCCTACAGCATTCTCAGTTCCAGCTCCCTGGTCCATGCGGACTCTGCGGGTATGCAGCAGGGGAGTCCTTTCCGCAATCCTCAGAAACTTCTCCAAAGTGATTACTTGCAGGGAGTTCCCAGCAATGGGCATCCCCTCGGGCACCACTGGGTGACCAGTCTGAGCGATGGGGGCCCGTGGTCCTCTACGCTGGCCACCAGCCCCCTGGATCAGCAGGACGTGAAGCCTGGGCGTGAAGATCTGCAACTGGGTGCGATCATCCATCATCGCTCGCCACACGTAGCTCACCACTCGCCGCACACTAACCATCCGAACGCCTGGGGAGCGAGCCCAGCTCCAAACGCGTCCATCACGTCAAGCGGCCAACCCCTCAACGTGTACTCTCAGCCGGGCTTCACCGTAAGTGGCATGCTGGAGCACGGGGGACTCACCCCACCGCCGGCCGCTGCCTCCACACAGAGCCTGCACCCGGTGCTCCGGGAGCCTCCAGACCACGGTGAGCTGGGTTCACATCACTGCCAGGACCACTCGGACGAGGAGACACCCACCTCTGATGAGTTGGAACAGTTCGCCAAACAATTCAAACAAAGAAGAATCAAGTTGGGTTTCACACAGGCTGACGTGGGGCTGGCGCTGGGCACACTGTATGGCAACGTATTCTCGCAGACCACCATCTGCAGGTTCGAGGCCTTGCAACTGAGCTTCAAGAACATGTGCAAGCTGAAACCCCTGCTGAACAAGTGGCTAGAGGAGGCAGATTCGTCCACTGGAAGCCCAACAAGTATTGACAAGATCGCTGCCCAGGGCCGCAAGCGCAAGAAGCGAACCTCCATCGAGGTGAGTGTCAAGGGCGTACTGGAAACGCATTTCCTCAAGTGTCCCAAGCCTGCAGCGCAGGAGATCTCCTCGCTGGCAGACAGCCTCCAGTTGGAGAAAGAAGTGGTGCGTGTCTGGTTCTGTAATCGCAGACAAAAAGAGAAAAGAATGACTCCTCCAGGGGATCAGCAGCCGCATGAGGTTTATTCGCACACGGTGAAGACAGACACGTCGTGCCACGATCTCTGACTGGAGGAACCGAGCAGGCGGCCGGCCGCGCTGGGAGCAGTGCGGGTTCCTTTTCTACTCTCTTCCTTTCATTATTTCATTATTGCTCTCTCTCTAGCTCGCCTTCTTTTTCCCTTTGGTTCTCCTTTTCTATCTTTCTTTCACAGGGGTTACTAACTTATGTTAAGAAAGGAAACATACTCACGTTCAGGCATCTCAACTCCTAAACACTTGCAGTCCAGGTTGGGGGAACCTCATATTCCCTGCTGCCTGAGCAATTTCCTTCCAATTTCTGCTGATCAATACATATTGTTTACTCTGAGTAAGATTTGTTTGGTTGCTCCTCTCTAGGAAGAGCAAGAAGTGGGGTAACCTGCGGGCGGGGGGGATGGGAGGGGGAAGACAGATGTGTGCCTCTGAATAACCTTTCAGCGCCTTGGTTATAGCAGCTGTATTTCAGGTGAAATCTGTTTTACAATAGACTAGTTTTGCATTTTTTTAAAACTTCTATAGCGTTTCTAAATGTCTGCAGTGTTTTACTACAAGCTGTACACAATATTTGTGAGATAATTTGTATCTAATCGACCACTCGACATTATTATTACTATTATTATTATTATTATTCCTTCATTGAGCTGATGGTTTTTAAATTGCTTATAAGGGGAGGGGAGGCTGAGAAGTGGAGCGAGAAAAATGGTTACCTCCCCACACACCACTACACACCCGAAATCTTTAGGAAGAGGAAAGGATACAATAGAGAGAGTCGTTGATGATGTTGGTTCTGTTCTCCCTCCCCCCCCCCAAACACACACACCCCTGGCGGTGCAGTGCGTGGGATGGGCAGTATATTCAAACCAATTGGGTTTGTAAATTAGCGCCAAGTAGGAGAGGCGATTTTTCCAGCTTTCTACCCACTTTCCTAGAACTGAGGAGCTACTATAGGTTTCCACGGGATAGATTCGATGCCCCAGAAGAATTAAGTGGTGGCGCCCGGAGGAAGAGGTGACCTGAGCCACGGGAATGGTTCTGCACACACCGGGGTCTTGGAGTCCTGCGTGTAGAGCACCTTGCAGGTTGACAGCCTGCAAGATCAGACCTCGGCTCTTGTAGAAGAAAAAGACTTTGCCTTCATAAACGGTTGCTTTCCTTAGAGGCAACGACCCGGAGACGCTGGCGACTGACTGGGCCAGCGCCTCCTGATTCATTCAGTTCACCTCTCGCTCACTGCCCAGTGGTTTCCGTGAGAGCAACCTCCTGGGAGAGGCGGTAAAGGGATTGGATGGACCGACTTTCTCTGCTTGGTGCAAAACGACAACGAAATTGTTGGTAAAGATCAAGGGGATTCTGGTCTAGCCGCTGCTACCATCTCCTCTCTCGTGTATATACCGCTGTCTGTGAGTAGTTGGGTCGTGGGTACCCCGTCTTGGAGCCTCTGACAAGCACAGCTGGTAGAAGCCCAAATCGCCTAAGATCGAGCTAGCGAGCACCTAGGCGGCTGGGTTCCTGCTTTTTTTTTTTTTTTTAATAAATCTGTGTCTCTGTGCGTGTGTGCGGGTGTGTGCGTGCAACCGTGTGTGTGTGTGTGTGTTTGTGTGTGTGCGTGTGCGCGCGCGTGCGTGTGTGTAGATAGCTGTGTGTATCGTATTACTGTATACAAAAAAAACAAAAACTACAAAAAAATCGCTTTAGGCTGTGTAGAGATCCCAAAAATATGCAGTTACTGTGGCTTTATTGCTAGTTCTCTTATCCACAGGCCAGGTTCACAGGTGCACTTCATTCCCAATGAGCACGCATGTGCTGGCCAAGCCAAGCACCCAACCACCCAGCCATGGCCCGCCAAACGTGACTGGGGGATTCGTACTCCCGGACTGTTCACCGGGTTCCGGCCTCCAGTTGCAGCTGCAGTAGACAAAGCATCAAACTACCTAAGGACCAGAAAGCCTTGTGTGGCTTGTGGAGGATGTGCTAGAATGTGCTGCCAGGCCTCTGGTTTACCACACCGTGTCTCCCCAGCTGCAGGTCAATGAGCGAGCGAGCATGTATTCATTCAGTTCCCTTTTATTCTTTTTGTCCAACCTTTGAATTCTGTTGGTAGTTAGGATTTACTTGTGGGATCTTATTTTTCACATTGAGTTCATGCTTCACAAATGTTGGGAGGTTTTTTTGTTTCGATTTTTTTTTTCAGTTACATGCTATGGTTCAAACCTGAGTTAACCCAAATATTTCTGCCGACTTTATAATTGTACAGTTTTGTATATTAAACGTTTTTGAAGTTATTAATTTAAAAAAGATCATTTAGTTTATTCATTTAGTAACTGATGTATAATAAACACTATTTTCATTAAGAGTTGCTTTTTCAACTATTTTATTCAAATTGCCTATTGCAGTTGCCAGCAATTATTTATTTTCAAAAATTCTGCATTGTGTTTAAAAGGAAAATCTTTCAAAGATAAGTTGGGTGTCAAAAAGAAAACAATTCGCTGTAATGTTTGATGTGAACAGTTTTAGTCAAGGGGTTTATATTGACGCAATATTTTATTGTTGTAAAAGATTAAAAAGGTTTAAATAAAACATTTTTCCAAAAAAATATATATGTTTGCTTCTCCTGGTTTTATTGTATGCTTTGAGAAGTGGAGAATTTAAACCAAGCAAAGTTCTTGATGAGAAGTGTGGGTATTCACTTTGCTTCAGGTTAGAAATCATTATTGTTTTGATTATTCTCTTTCTTTGACTTTTGTCCTTTGGGTTTAGTCTTGTAAAGCACAACGAGGCCTGTTTGCATGTCCTTACTGATGGTCTTAGGAAAAATACCCCAAGGGCGGGAACTGCCTGGAGAAAGCCTGGGTTGGGTTTATTTCTGTGGATACTTAAAAAAACAAATTCTCCATAAGACTGTCTCAGACAGGGTCTTATAATCTGCTCCTCCTGAAACTGGACTTATTGAAGCTTTCGTGTTCCCTAGGTGCACTCCTTCCTTTACTTCCTCCCCACTCCTAAGAGTCACCCTTTTGGTAGGTGCCATTTCCAGGATGAGGGATTGGAAAAGGATTTGATGTAAGGGGTAAGGGATCTCCTTAAATTGTTCCCTGGGCATAAAAAGCCTAGTGAACTGTATGCTCAGTAATGCTGAGTGCTTTCTATCCCTAAGTTTGTGAGAAGGAAAGTGGATAAAATGGATACATTTGGGGGAAATTTTTTAGTTATTGTGCTACTTTTTCCAGGCCTACATACAAATGTGCCCATGTTATTTGATTTCATAGCACTGTCCATAAAAATAAAAGACTGTAGTGATGTTGAAGGAGTAATTCATGAAATATGAAGCACCTTCAAGGTTTTATAGCTTTTGCATACCTTATCTAACTTTTTTGGTTGATGCATATAAAGCAATAAACAAGAATATAAATTTTCCAGCTGTAAAACTCTCAATTCATACTCTGATGTAGGTACTTTTCAGTAGACAAGGTAAAATTACTTAATTGCTTTAATAGGTAATGATTATCACATGTAATACCTTAAATTTTTCAGATCGCATAACCATTTACAGCTGTACTGTATGCCATACACATGTGAATGTTGTGTATAAAACATGCCACATGTTCTGTGTATCTTCCTGAGTATATCTCTACATAATATTGACTTTATAGATATGTATTTACAAGCACAAAATTCATAGTAATAAGCCTATTGGTTCTCCTTTGGTTAACACAAACTATCTCCTATTTAATCAATATCCTATAAAAAGTTTGAATTAATTAAAAAGTTTTTCTTACTAAAGAAATATCCACAGCTTTCAGAATATGCTAGATTTCTTTAAATATTTGTGTGAACATATAAGTATAGATATTACTATTTACCAGTATTTTACATATATATATATTACTGAAACATATGTTATACATATTTATCAATCAGACTTCCATTACTTTCTCCTAAAAACTATCCAAAGTATAGTAGGCTTTTATGGTGCTCTTATCACTCTATCATGAGCATATATTTTTATTAAAGTCAGATGGTTGGCACTTCTTCCTGGGACTTTCTTTTTATTGAGGTCGCCCCTACTCCTGTTCCTATCCAAGCCATTTGTAGGGGGAACTGTTTTGTCTTTGATTTCTCTCAGACCCTCACAAAAGTTTCATTCCCATCACCACATCAGATAAATGGAGAGCCTATAGAGCAGGATAAATTGTGAGAAGAGAGAACGTACAAATGTTGCAGATGTGTAAAGTCACATATGTAAATCAATTATGTATGTGTATATACAGTTTGTTTGTCCACATACTTGTGGCTCTGAAATGGGTAACAAAAAGGAAATCAATTACTAAATCCAAGAATTTATCTTTCTAACAACAACAAAAAGAAGTGAAATATTAAGCCTGGCAATTAGCCTCTTATCTAACAAGAAAATAGTAGGGGGAAACTATTGCCTAAATTAGTCCATAAGCCGTGTTCCATCTTTAATAAAATCAAACAATATTCCCTTGGAAGTATTTAGCATTCTGATAGTTCCTTTGCTCCCAAGTTAGGCTACTGTTGTTGCTTTATTTGCCTATAAGCATAAATTTTGTTTTTTATTTAAATTTCCTTATGAAGGGAGAAGGAAGTGGAGGAGGGAAGAGAAATTATTAGAGGTAATAAAGTTTTCCAAAGAGAAAAAATGTAGTTTTACACCTATCACATCTTTATAAAGATACATCTGTAACCTCAGAATTACAAAAGTTATTTCTATGACTTGGTACTTAAATTCAAACATGTGAGACTTACCAAAAAACGTTCTGAGACAGGAAAAAGTATCAGTGCAAAACAATACCATTTAAATTTATATCACTCACATTCATCCTTTCTACACAATAAGATACAAGAGTAGAAGATTCTTTATACATGCCCTTCAACAGTAGTTTTAAACTAGCAATCCTCCAACTTATTCACTTACAGATTTTCATTTCAAAAGCATCAAGAAATATGAATATGAAATATATTCAAAATCAATTAAGGGTTTTTATGAGATGAAAGAAAAGTACCTTTTCTTAAAAACACTG